CGGGCTGGCAAAATTGCAGTTGTACCCACTGCCAGGGGCGGGCCTTGGATGGCAGACCACAAAATTATGCTCATGCCCACCACGTGGACCGCTGTGGCCCAGCGGCTGCTGGGTATGAGCATAACTTCAGTCATCCCGTAGTAGGGTATATGAATAATTTGGCCAGTCCACCTGAGTCCCGGGTATGCCCATAATTTTACCTGGGTATGTCCATAATTTGTGTATTCGGGTAGTTGGTCATAACTGCAATTTTGCGATACCAACCTGGGCCCACATCAGTCCTGGGCATACAAATAATTTCCACCGGCAGCTTTCCGGGTATAGGTGCAAGTTGGCGCTGGGACTGCGTGTACAGCGGGTATTCCCATCTTTAAGTGGGGTACAGATGCAATTTCCCTACATAATAACGCCCAAAAAAGACAGTAATTTGGGAAACATTTGTCATGCATAGCAGTCGTTTGCACCTACGGTAGGGTGCACGCTCATTATCGCTGTAAAAACAAAACCCACCAGGCGAAATGTCAAGTGGTTCAAGGCAGAATAGTTTAGTATGTTAGAACGGCCGAATCATAATTCGCATGTCGGGGGTTCGAATCCCTCTTCCGCCAGTCGTCTATCTATGCTTTCTTCAAGCTTATATATAGACTGCATTGGCTTAGGGCCAGATCCCACTGGCAAAGAGGATTGGAATAAGTGGCCGAATCTGGACGTGTTCCACACACAGATGCAGAAAAGCAGAATATGTCGTACTAGAATAGAGCACACGGGTCGTAATCGCTGTATCTAGATTGAAATTTGCCCAAAATACGGCTTTAATGACCGTGCGTTCTATTCGAAGGAAGACGGTAAGTTGCCGTTCAGTAACACGAAATATGTCGCTTGAAGGAAGGACGGGTAGCTGATTTTTTTTTTTTTATCTGTAGCTGAAATTCAAAGAACCAGCCAAGGGGCCTAGCTATGCTAGCAGGGGTACCCTGCATGGCTTAGTAGTGCTAGGTAGGTAGGTAGTGAAAGGTGAAATCGAGAGAAGAATATAGCTTAGTTATTAAAAAAAAAAAAAAAAAAAATCTCACGAACAATAAATAAATAAATTCTCACGAGCTAGTAGTCGGCCACGGTGCCCGGCTAAAAACAAAACAAACAAAAAAAAAACAAGTGAATGGGGCCTTTACTCCTTTTTTTTCCCGACGGCCTTGAAATAATATTATTGAACTGACCAGTCCCAGGCAATTCAGTATTATGCCATTCCGTTCATCTGATTGCATCTGGATTCGAGCTTGGGTCTGTATTTCAACAGTTCATGCGTGTACCAACTGACACATGGTTATATAGGTAGTAGGGTTTTTTTTTTTTTTTTTTTTGTTCAACCAACGTCTTTATTCGCTGTGTATTTGCCTGGGTCCAAGAGACTGCGGTGTCATCTGATGCACCCCAACGTCTTTATTCGCTGTGTATTCGCCTGGGCCCAAGAGACTGCGGTGTCATCTGACGCACGCCTTATGCCCGCTAAGAGAATGCTTCGAGATCTTTTCGTGTTTCATTTTTAGCTGTGGAATTGTGCATATGCTTACTTTGCTGTCGCGCATCAGGATTGTAGCCTACCGTCTTCACCCGAATAAAACGCCCGGCCATTGTCGCTGCACCTGGACTGAAAAGTGCCCCAAATACAGCTATAATGACAGACGTTATATTCGGGTGAAGACGGTAGCTGCGGGCGCCACGGTTACGGCTCAGGAAACAGTCTATCCTGCAACCTTTTTTTTTTTTTTTTTTTTTCCTGCAAACTTTTTTACATATGTAAGGACGCCGGACGGATGAACCTGGCCGGAGTGCCTGGATCATGCAACACAGGTTTTTTTTTTTTTCCCTGCAATCTTTTACGTTTTCCGGCTCGTATATTTCAACAGCAGCCCGTCGTATGAACCTGGCCGGAGTGCCTGGATCATGCAACACTGGCTGTCCCTTTTCCACCAAAAAAAAAAAAAAAAAAACTGACATAGGCCTCGTTGTTAATGGGGCATTTTGACTTTCGTTTTTTTCCCTTTACTTCTTTGTTTTTCTTTTTCTTCACTTCCTCTTCTCTTCTACCAAAAATTATTGTGCTACAACCATGATTGTTTAGAGAGGAGCGCCGCTTGGCCGTTCCGTCTAGGTGTGTACATTCCTTAAATTTAAACACCCCATCCTCTGAAGAGATTGAGCTTTCGGGGAAAAAAAAGGTTTTAGCCTTTTAAATGATAGGATTCGAGCCCACGTCTGTTTGTCAACAGAAAACAGTCATATGCTCGATTTGCTAATTTGCAATGTATCGTGGTTTGATTCCCTCTCCTCTTCCTCTCCTCCCCCCTCCCTCCCCCCCCCGCGGCCCCCAACCCCTAAGGGATAACATTGGGATATAGAAAAGATCACGGATCTAGGCTGCTTTTGCTGGGCGGAGAAAAGCCCCACGGACCCGGCGGGGGAGGGGGGGGGGGAAGCGGGGGGGAGGGGGATCGCGGATTTTTCCTCCGTGCAGTTGGCCGGGCGCCTTGCACGGGTGCCCGGGCGGGCCTGCACGCCCGGGCTCCCCTGGTACCTTAGCTTGGTCATTAATTGATCGCTCCGTCGACAAATCAATCAATGGATTCAGAGTTTGATTGATTTTTATTTTTTTTCTGTGTGTTGGGGGGGGGGGGGTAGATTCACAGTTTGATTGATTTTTTTTTTTGGGGGGGGGGACACTGTCGGGACGATTCACAGCATGGTCGTTTTTCGGTACATTGATTGTTAGAAATCTTTCTGGAAAAAAAATAGGTTGATTAGCGGATTAATTGGGTGCAACCGATCTAAATGTAGACTGATTGATCGAACGACTATTGAGTGGCTAGATCAACTAATACACAGTTTGATAACTTTCATCAATAAGGCAACTCTGAAGTTTTCGTAATTTCTTTTCAAAAAAAGCATAAAACAAAACAAAAAAAAAAAACAGATCAACAGATCGGCTGGTCACTCGACAGAACGACTCAAAATCGGTGAAATTTAGTTTAGACCAAGGAGTTTTTCATTGATTGGGTCGATTTATAGCTTGATTGATAGCCTAATTAATGACCAGCTGGATGATCTAATACACTCATTCATCGGGTGACAAATGACTCGACCGTTCAGTGAAGATCGATCAGTGGAATGAAAGATTGAAAGATTGAAAGATTGAAAATTGGCCGATTTTTTTTCCCCAAAGGCAGCTCATTTTGGTGGATCTATTGGTCGAACTGGAAGACTGAAATTAAACCGATTTTTTTTATAATCTTCGTTACCGACAAGCCGCCGCCCTCCCGAAGGCCGGGCTGTTCCACATGGTGAAAAAAGACGCAGCAGAAGAGAGAACGAGAGAGACGAGATAGAGAAAAGAAGATAGAAAAAGTTAAAAACAGCAGAAAGAAAGTGCGTAACTTGAAAAAAAGGCCGCGTAAATAAACACACAGAAAGAAAAGAGAGAACGAGAGAGAGAGAAGAGAGAGGGAAGAAAGAGAGGGAGCGGGAGAGAGAGAAAGAGGGAGATAGAGACACAGACAACGATACAGAGAGAAGCAAAGCGGGGACAGGATTGCAGATCCACACCAGGACAGATACCACGGGTGATGGCATTCCTGATGAGGGGCAACAACGGAAACGGAGGAAAACGGAGGAAAACGGAGGAAAACGGAGGAAAGCAGAAGAGGGGGGGGGGGAACGAAGGAAAACAGAGGGAGGAAAACTGAGGAAAACTGAGGAAAACTGAGGGAAAACGAAGGAAAACAGAGGGAAAACGGAGAAAAATAGAAAACGGAAAAAAAACAGAGAGGGAAAAATGGAGAAAAACGCAGAGGGGAAAAAACGGAGGAAAACGCAGAGGGGAAAAAACGGAGGAAAATAGAGGAGAATGGAAGCAGATGGAGGCAGATGGAGGCAGATGGAGGCAGACGGAGGGAAGATGGAGGCATCGGAAGGAATCAGTGTCCTGCGAGCTAAGGGCATTATCCAACCGCTTGAGACGATTCAGAAAAGGATCATTGATCCGCGATCCGAAAGGATCAATTGTCCCTCTCTTTCGTGAAGGAACGGGTAATGCCGAAAACAAACGTCCATCATGGGAACAGAGTGACGGACTTGGCGCGTCGGGCAAACAGATCGCACAGCTAATTCCCATCACGCGGACGAATAGAACAACCGGTTCCAGAGAGAGGATTCGTGAAGGGAGGAGAAACAACGAGGGCCGGGGAGGAGGGGCCAAGAGGGTGAGGACAAAATTTCAGAAGATAGGACAGAAGAAGTGAATGACGAGCCCAGGACTAGTTAAAGAGACGCACAGAGACAAAAGTGAGAGAAAGAGAGAGAGAGAGAGAGAGAGGGAGAGAGAGGGAGAGAGAGAACTT